CTCTCTCTCTCTCTCTCTCTCTCTCTCTCTCTCTCTCCCTCTCTCTCCCTCTCTCGCTCTCTCTCAGATCTTTCAGTGTGTGGGCAGAAAATGCGCTTTGGCTGTGCCAAACTAATATGGCATGTAAAACTCTCCCGGTTTGTGTTAAACTTTTGTTCATCCATGATGAATGGCCAGAGTGGAAAAGCAAAGAAAATAAATAAAGAAAATTCCGTCTGTCAGACGGTAGCTGCTAGCTGGCATCTGGGCGTTGTGCCGCAATGGGCGTGGCGCATGCAATTTATCTTGACATTTTAATCTGGCCCATTGTAAGCACTGAACACTTGAAGCGCACAGCCACAGTGTTAGCCAAGTGTTAGCAATATGCAAGCCCAGTGTGGCCAACGCCTTTGGGTTAACACGCTCTTTAAAATCTACTTTGCCCCTTTGTCTCCCCCCGACCACGGCCACGGCCGGGCCACGTCTTTTTCCCGAAATCCAATTAGACAATCAGACACATAAACAATGGCTACGTAGCCGAAAAAAAAAAAAACAAGAAACAACAACAAAAGAACATTAAATGGCATACATGTAGATGCAGCATTGATGTGCTCAACTAGCACATATCCTGTAGTTAGTTTAGTTAGCTGCGATAGCAAATTAATATACATATATACATATAAACTTATATACAGTCGACTCTCGTTAATTTGTAGCCAGCTCAATCGAATATCGTTGTAAATCGAAACAAAATTTTATCCTCTACTCAATCATTTTAGATAATTTGAATTTCTGTGTAAATCGAAAACAAATTGATCTTGCCTAATCGGATTATCCCGATTCTGTTGTATATTCTTATACACTTATCATATTCCATCATCATCTACCCTTCCATTTTCCATGCCGTACTTCCTTTCACTCAACTGCAATAGTTACAGGGTATCGCTTAGCGCCCAGCCGCACTTAAAAAATCTACGGATTTGGCAACGTCTTTTTTTATTTGTCTTTGGATCTGCTGCCATTTGCTTCTGCAGACTTTCACTTTCGTCAGCAGAATGCAATTAAAGGCAAGCTTGGCGAGCTTCACTTGCGACTGTGTTTTCCTTTTGTGCTGCTCTCTTTTGTCTGTGGCCCTAAATGTATCTCAAAGTTTGTGTGTTCTGTGTGTGTGTGTGTGTTAGTGTGCAGGCGCCGGATGGGTCATTGCACGTTGTCGTCTAGAAGTCGCAGTTGGTCGGGAAAGTGTGAAAAATGCTCTTTTCCGCAGCGCATTTTCTTTCGACTTGGCGTATTGATTGACTGACTACTGTGTGTGTGTGTGGAAATATGCGAACACTTTAACGAAGCTAAGAGGAGATTTTCATTCACTATAAGCGCCTTACAAATTATGTTTTATAGACATCTTCTCGAAGACTGTTTAGGCGACTAACTATTCAAGTGCACCTAATTAGCTTGCATAATTGATGGTAAAAGTAAGAAATGATCTCTGATAACAATGATGACAATGTACTCTCAATTCTTGTAGAAGCAATAGATGTATGGTTATAATCTATGCTATGGATACACTTCTGAGTACGCTTTAGTGTTTTAATAAAGGGAACAACAAATAAAATAGATATATATTTTAATTTAAGTTGTTTTAGACCCCATAGATAACAGAAACTTATCCTGTTTTCTACTCCGATAATAATATCGGATTGATTCGTTTTTTGTTCCGTTATTAAGTCAAGATTAGTTCTTCAAATATCTTAAGAAAATGTTTACGAAATTTCAGATTATTCTTGTATACCCAATATATCATGTACCTAGTCCATAGTGCATTGTGGGAAATTAAGAACTTTTACGGCAAATTTTCATGTTCTTGACTGCTCTTAAATAGAATTTTTCAATTTCCTTGAAGAAATTTGTGCACAAGCATCAGACTTGGATATTTTTGTGCTATGAGCCTGCAGCTTTTTCGTAATGAATGTAATCCAATTATTTTTGGTGTTACAAAGTAAACAAAAGTCTAATCAGCTGCCACGCCCTTAGACAAAATGACCAGAGCAGAGAGGGTCTAACTAATATATGAAATAAATACGTACATATATAGATATAGATATACATTTATATATTGGTCCAGCTGTTGCCTCAAGGCAGGTCGTTCCAAATCGCATCATTCACACACACACACCCCACGATTTATGAATGTGTGCGTGTTTTCGGTATCTATTTGTACGATTATGGATATTGCTCATTAGGCTGATGGCTGCCAAGGCAGCATCAAAGTTTGCTTATTATTATTTATTTATCCACCCCAGACAGACAGCTAATTTCAGTCGGACGGACTGGCTGACCGCTTGCCATTTATGCGATGAGAAAAATCTCCAAAAACTGCCAAAAAGATTTTTGTATGCTGTCATTTTTTCACTGTTCCAGCGCCAAATGTAAATGGGGAAACGAACAAAAACAAAACAAAAACAAAAATCGAAAATGAAACAAAAACAAAGCTAAAATTTGCATCTTGCCTGATATAGAAAAATGACGCAACTAGACAAAAATCGAAACTAAAATATCAACAAATATTTACGTCTATCTGCTACATATGGCAAGCAAATTTAATGTTTTAGCAACGGCCAGTCCGTTGTTTTATTTGGCATTTGAAACTTGCC